GAGGTCAGTACCCTGTTTCCCTCGGAAAAGCCAGAACCAAATATAAGCCACTGGCGAAATGAAAGGAATAAAATCTTGTAAATTAGTGTGTATGAGATAAGAAACTTCTCGTTTTAGCTTGGGTATGGGAGAGTGGGGACCACGTTTTCCTTGCCACGTCTGGTGGCGTGCTTCTCCAGGACACAGATGTGACTGGCTCGCAGGGCCAGCTGTCAGGTTGGCAAGTCCTGGTCACGTGTGGTCTGGCTGCAGCCCCTCGCGGAGGCTTAGACTTGCTTTCTCGGGACGAGCTGAGCCAGGTGCATGCGAGGCGCGCCAAGGTGAGGTGTTCTCATTTTGGAGGGTGTGGGCGCTGCTGGATTCAGTCCCCTGCCACCTCCACCCCATGCAGTCCTGGGCCCTCAATTTTATCTGTTTGTGGAGTAGCTAGTGAAGATGAGAAAATATGACCAAACACCTTATGGGCATCTCTTCTTTAAGAAGACCTAGACGTGGGGATACGTTGAAGCACAATGTGCTTCACACCCACAGGATGCGGAGAAGCAGCAGGAGCGATTCATGTATAGCAGCCACCAGCGCCAGCCACGCCAGCCTGCACCCAAGGAAGCTAGAGGTCACCACCAGACAGAGGTGAGAGCCAGGAGTATGTGCCTGGACTGTGGGGAGACGGGGAGTGGACCAGGCTCCGGGAGGGAAGGACACAGAGACACCTACTAGCGGGCAGACACCAGAGGGCAGCTGCCCCGCTGGAGGGCGACTGACGCATCCCCACTTTCTGCTGTTTTAGGGCCATAGCTCTAAGTGCCACTTCGGTACCTGATATTCTTTTATTTTTTACTGGGAGAGAATGACATACTTAGTTTTAGAAATACTTTCAAAGATGACACAGAGAAGCCACGCTGAAAAAAGGATTAAATAATGGAGTCAAAAGTTGGAAGTCTGAGCCGCATTCCCAAGGAAGATGGAAGATGTTTGGGAAGATAGCCACGCCACCCAGGGTGACCCAGAGGCCCCGGCGGGAGGTTTCTTCACAGACAGAACCCTTCCCAAAGCTGGCTGCAGTGCCACCGTGAGGAGGGGTGCTGGGGACACTTTCCCTGGTAACGACATTGTGACCTTGGGGGGTTCTTTCCTCTGGTCCTCCGGCTGTACAGGCCACGGCTTTCTACGCCCAAGACTTCTGATGAGCCTTGCTTGAGGGAGAGGGACAGAGCCGGAAACAGCAAGCTGGTGAGTGGTGAAGGCTTGAGGAAGTCTAACCGTGGCGTTTTGGAGAACAGCCACTCTGGCCCAGATCGCGGGGCGCCGGGGTGAGATCCCACAGCTGGACCTCCCGACCCCCTTTCCTGGTGCCGTGAGGTGGGGCTGTCTGGGGAGGAAAGCCCGGCTGTTGGGCTCAGGGCCACGGCAGCAAAGGACTTGTCCCCGTCCAGGTGTCCTCCGAGGTTACGGCTCCCTGCCAGGTACACTCGGGCATCATTAGTTGTTAAGGCCCCAAACACCCCCCTCGGTCTAGGCACGAACTCAGGCGGAGAGCGAGGCTGTGGAGCTTACGGTCATTCGCAATGTTTGGATCCGAAGAGAGGCTTGGGCTCCTTTCTATAAGGTTCTGGAAAGATGAAAACACCCTCTAAGGGCACTACATAAATCGGGGCTAAAACTCCCCGTCCTCCTGATGGACCCGGAAAGCCAGCACCTATGGTGGCCAGGGCGCAGCTGCCCGGGTAGGCCTGGGCGCGAGATGCTCCCCTTAGCTGGCTCACCAGGCCTGTTGGGTCTCTCCCCACCGCCATTTCTCCACCTGTAGCCTGGGGGTGAGGACAGCCACACCTACCTCGTCAGGGTCCCTGTGAGGAGGAAAGCGCCGGTGCAGGGGGACCGCTCTGAGCCACGTCAAAGCCTGTCGGCCACGATCGTCGCCCCTTTCAAACATGGTAGCTGTGGTCAGTGAGCTGACGGCTGGAGGTGACGTGTCGGGGAGGCGAGGACAACACCTACAGTCACCTTTCTCCCTCCCCATCAGTGTGTCACTGGCTTGTTCTCACCCCAGTTTCTGGGGCCTGTGGGGAATGTTTCGTGGCACGAATGCAGACTGGGCAGAGCCACTGAGGCTTGAGGAGCTGCAGCTCCCCACGGCCACCATGGGTCTGCCTGGCTCCCCCGGCCTGATGCCCAGTGGTCCCCCCCTCATCATCAGATGCTACAGCTGGGTCGAGGAGGAGGTGGTGCATGGGTCACACTCAAAGGACTCAGAACCTTCCGGGCCCTGTCCTGGGGGCCTGTGATCGTCTTGCCTCTGGCATGCTGCACAGTTAATTCAATTTTGGTGGCCAGGCCTTGTCTAATTTATTTGGTAAACTGAACGTCTTTGCTTAGAATGACCCAGACACCACGATTTCCCCATGTGACTTGCCTGAATTTTGGAAGATGACCCGAGCATGGTGTTCTGTCGGCCACAGGAAGACGGCGTTCAAACTGAGGCTCTTTAGGGAACAGAGTGTGGGAAAGAGATGATGCAAGTCACACGCAGAACCTGATAAAGGCAGCAGCAAACTCATCTAGGTTCGGCTAAGAATGACCTCACCCGATTCTGCACACAGCCGAGGCCACGGCACTGTCTCATAAACCACGCAAAGCTGAGTGCAGGTGCGGTCCCCAGTGGTGTGGTCTAGCGGGGGTTTTCTCTGGAGAAGCTTGGAAGCTTTTGTTGGCATTTGGTTTTGCATAAGGGTTGGGAAGCTCGTTGTTCTGTCTTTTCCAGGTCCTATAGCAAAGGCACCTCACAGGGACTTAGTTTGTCACAGTGCCAGGACCTGAGCAGAAAGGCTGTCACCAGCCATGGGATGCAAAGGTGCCCACCGGCCTCATACTCTTGGCCGGGGCCATGCTGGCCTCTCTCACGAGAGCCACGTGCTGGGTCCTCTCCAGTCCTCAGGGATGGCCAGCTACTGAACAAGCCAATCACTGTCAAGCCTAGAGCTGTCAAGCCTAGGGAGAAGTACTGGAGCCAGATGAATTTCAATTCCTAAAGGGACTCCACATCACATCTGAGAGGTAAGGTCCCTGCCCCTGGAGGTTTCCCAGTCAGTACCACATGTGTGCTGTCCTTCTGGGAGGGGAGAGAAACTCTCCACTGATGACATGGTCTCCCCTGAATGGCTTTTTCTAGCATTTACCAGAAAACAGGTGGTTACCACTTTAGAAATAGAGCACTGAAATTGTGTGATTAATTACTTGGGAATGCGGTGTCACCCGCTGCCCTGTCAGAACAGTGTCTCTTTGTGGTAACTTGAAACCACATGACACAACCCAGAAGGAAAGAAGTTGGAAGGCAGGCCTGGGAGTTTTTCAGTGAAACAGGTGCCTCAACTACACCTGTACTCATAAGACTACAGCATCAATATGTATTTCTGTGAGTCGAAATTTAGCTGAATTTCTTTTATAATCTGCTCAGTGATTCCACATACCAAGAACAGGTAAGGGCATAGACACCAGATTATACAACAATAAATCATTTTTTGTTCCCTGACCTTTTAAACAAATTCACGTATTAACAAAGAATCAACATCTAAATAGACTTTTATTTTTACTTGTTTGGACAGAAAAGAAAATTCATCGGCTTTCATTAGAGTCTCCCTAAAGTGTTGGAAACACATTAAACTCAGAAATAGTGAACCTTGTAGAAAAGCATCACAAATTAAAAATATATTTCTCCATGTGGTAAAAGTGCTTTCAATCCAATTTTAAAGGGCATAGCAAAGGTGTCTGGAAACACCTTTTCCAAAATTTGGCCTACAGTCGTGGCATGGAAATAAAACCACGGGGCGAGGGGATCGTCATGAACTAGGGGACAGAAATGACATGGGGGTTCGGAAGCATGCGGAGAACACTTCATTAACGAGTGTGGACGAGGAAAAAAGTCCCAAAGCCTGAGTAGAATAGATTTGCATTTGTAAAAATGAGGTGGTTACATAAATTGGGTTGGAAGGAGAACGGGTAATTCCAGAAATTACTTGTTTCTCGTCTGTGGGGACAGTCAGACGTGCTGAGGTTTCCCACAGAGACACGTAAACCTTGGGTCTCAAAGAAAGATGTTTCTGGGAGATGAACGGAGCCCTGGCTTCCAGCTGCTGGTCACGCGGTCTTTTCCGTCCTTCGGTGAGCAAGCCCCCGGCCCCCATTTCAATCCCGTGCAGGTTGTTACCACGATCCCGGCACGAGACCGGCCGCACCGTCCTGGGGGACGCTCAAAGCGGCAAACGCCGCCAGGGCTGGTGCACATGGAGTGGGGACAGGGAGCAAACGGTCACCGTAGAGAGTTTTGTCTGTTTAGCAATGCTACATGTTTTTCAAAACAAGTAATTCTGCCAGTGATGACAGCCTGTGACAAACCTCCACGGAGCGCAGCCACGTCTGTTCTGGAAGCAAGCTGCCCTTCCCAGCCTGCCACAGGCTGAAACACGGAGGTGTGATCATGCAAGGAGCCGTGAGTGGGGCTGGGAGGGTGGAGGTGGTGGGGGGAACATCTGCCTTTTACATTAGATCTTAAGCAACAGTAAGAAAATAACCTGAAGATATATTTAAAAATAAAAAATAGCATCACCCTTCACTGTAATTCTTTTGGCGTTTCCCTCCCCGCCCCACCCACCAGCCACACAGAGGAAAAGGAGCAGGAAGGCCTCACTTATTCTGCATTTCTGCACTGCGCACCCAGGCTGTGTTTCTTCTAAGAGACCCGTCAGAAGCTGCTGGAAGCCCTTGTGGCCTCCCCCACACCGGAACCACCTTAAGCGTGCAGGGCCAATCCCTGCTTGCTTCCTCCACCTTCAACTTGATCCGCGTCTCTCATCTCCTTAGATCTTTACGAAGCAGGCCTTTCTGTCAACGCGCTGCAGCTCATCCTGTTGTGGTGTCTTCGTCATAGTCACCTGTGCTAAGCGCTGAGGTTGCCCTGCAGGCCTCATGGGTGCCACGAGAGACCCTGCACTGGGGACCTGGGTGCAGCCCACACACCAGGGTGTTTCCGCGTCTCTGGGCAGGTCAGCTAGGCCGGCTCTCCTCCTCCTCCTCTTCCCCTCCCTTGGCCTGGTCCCTGCCCAGCCTGGGCCGGCGCCCCCAGCATCAGTGGGTTGGCGAGGCGTCCTCCAAGCCCAGCAGCTCTCTGACGAGTCTCTCTCCAAACTGCGCCCGGCTGTACCTGGTCACATGGTAGGCGTCTGACATCTTGTACAGGATGTAGGCGTTGTTCACGGCGATGCTGACGGCGAACCAGAAGACCTGTTGCCAGGTCTTGCTTGGTTTGTGAGAGATGAAATACCTGGGGATGAGAAAGGCTGCCGATGGCTCACGGGTCCCCAGGACAGATGCGCCCCGAAGGCTTCACTCCCCATGGCAGTACGATGCTACAGACTCTCCTCCCACAGAGGGGCGGGGTGGGGGGCTCTGGCCTGGGGCTTTGCCACAGTGAACTGTGTTCAAGACGACGGAAATGAAAACAGCCCCTCTTAAAGGCTCAGAAGGGAAGACTGGATGCTGGAGGAGATGCTGCAGACCAGGTGCCAGGTGTGCTGTGGGTGGTTTGCAAGCCCCAGAGTGAACAGGCCCTGGCAGCCGCTCGAGCTTCCCTGCTTGCTAAATGCCCTTCTCAGGCTGTGTTCTGTGCGTACGGAACTGCTTCCACTTCCCCATGGTCAAGTCCCTCCTGGGCTCCAGGTCCCTGCAGTGCATTTCCTTGCTCTGGAGCAAACCTCCTCTGCCCCCACCTTCCCTTTAGATCAAGGTACTGAGGTCCCCGTTCAGGGAAGCTGGCTCGGACCCTGAGGCTGACTCTGGGGACGCTGCTCTCTCCTCTCAGGAGAACCCACCTAGGACTTACTCACTGTCTGTGTCCTTGTCTCTGCACCTTGACTGTGAAGTGTTTGAGGATGGGCAGCCTCAATATGACCAAAATGCCCAGCACAGGGCAGGCACTCACGGACATCTGCTAAACAAACGTCACTTTCTTTGCAGCAGCCTCCTGGAACTAGCAAGGGGCTGGTATGTAACAGGTGTTCAGCGAACTAAGTGCTGATGTCTCTGTAACAGCCTCCTGGAACTCAGCAACGTGCCGGGGACGAGGTGGGCGTTCACTAAGACTAGTTCAGTGACTCCCTAAGGAGCGGGGCCACCTTGCACATGCAGGCTGAGTTTTCCAGGGAGAACCATGCCCTTGTTTTTCCTTCCTCGCCATGAAAAAGGCCAGGAAATGTAGGTTAGCCTCAAAGAGGGCTGAGTCAATGTCTAATTTTGAGTTAGTCCAACCCTGTTCTCTGCTGTAAGGCTCAATCCTTGTGCTTTAATAGTCATACTCATTTCTGAGTTCCTGTCATGGCTGTTATGACACTCAGCCAGGGGACGGCATCGCAGGTACATGTACATCCCACACCATGCACATTGGCTGTATCGTGTGCACATGCGCGTACTAGGTGTATATTTAACATGAGGCCATACCCGGATCTTAGGAGGCGTCCATATTTGAGAAAATTGAGGAACCAGTGCTGAAACACACATGGCTCAGGGTAAGAACACCTGGGCTGATGCTAGTGTGTTATGGGTGTGGGGGGCTGGGGTCTGAGCTGGCTGTTGAGAGACACCATGACTTAGATAAGCGGAGGGAAGGGCACTTTTGGGCAAAAGGAACGTTAACCTGGAGCAGGGAGAGTGGAGAGGCAGAGGACTCCCAGGTGAGGCCAGGTGTGCACAGGCCGAGCTGGGAAGGCCAGGATGAGGGCTGAGGATTCTATCTCCCAGGGTCTTCATCCTTCAGTTCTTAAACTGGGGAAGCCAATGACCACCTACTGACTTATCTATTCTGTGTCCGCGCAGCTACAAGACCGTGTGTGTGGTCACTTACTTGCTGTACTTGTCATCGTATCTGCAGATGTAGCTTAGGTGAGCAGCAAACGCCTCCACGGCCAGCGGGCAGGGGATCTCCCCGCTCTTCCTCTTGATGATGACTCCTGCAGGGGGGAGAGAAGGTGAAGCCCCTGCCCGAACCGCTGCCTCCAAACACCCGTCTACACACGTGCCTGTCTTCATCTAGCCTGGCTGCCCTGACTTGAAATAAACAGAAGGTGGAGGGATGAAGAACTAGCAGGACCAGCTGCCAGATGCTTCAGAGGACTTGAGGAAAACTTCAAAGACCATAGGGTCATGACAGGCCTAAAGGTGGCTCTGAGCGGCACGGGGCAGGGCGCTACACCCAGATGGGGGCGAAAGGGGGGACAACAGGACTCACTCTTCCCCCTCCCTTCTGCCAGGCTGGGGAGGCAGTGCTGGGAAGAGCAGGAGGCGGCCGAGGTCAGGGGGCAATGCAGAATCATTTCCATCTGCTTCGATCAAAGCCAAAGGGTAGTTTTAGAGATACAGTAAAACAAGGAGGTTGCCCTCCCCACCCTCCCGTGCCCTAGCCCACCCTCTCATGCTTCCCAGGACTTCGGGGTGTGTGTGTGGGGCAGGTCCCAGGGGCACAGCCAAGGGCCCAGCAGGATTCATGAATCCCACCAGCAGGGCCCGGGGAGCCAGTGTGAACCAATTAGCCTCCTCTTGCTGCTGCCCAGTTTCCCAGGCCTGCCTGACGCACAGTCCCTTGTGGACAATGCAGCAGACGGGGAAGGATCCATTCCGTTGCGGCTGGGGTTGACCTCCCGTTTCCTCCGACAGCCCTCCCTCCCAGCATGAGATCAGGGGCACGGTGCCATCTTTTGCATGTATTTTTTTAAGAGCTTAGTACACAGGGTTGTGAAATTTTACTTAACTAGACCAGGTCAAAGTAAAACGGCCATGGCCCTGCAGGCCCACATGCCATCTGGGGCAGCCCTTCCCGCCTCCCACTGAGGGATGCCAGGTGAGACCAGGGTTGCACAGGTCCACTTGTAGAGCTTGAGCTGGGACCTTTCTTCTCCCCCCAGCAATCGTGGTATTTCACACTGAACAAACACCTAGAGAGCCCTGGGAGAAATTTAGCTGCTGGAACCTGCCCCTAGTGCTGTATGTCCAGGGCCATGCGTTTCCTAAAGTTCTCCAAGGTCCAGAGGATCATGGCACCCATGCCATGAGCTTTAAACATTGGAAATGCTAACAAGAGATCACCTGATATTGTCTTTGCTGACTTCACAACTGACAATGACGTGCACGTCGTCCACAGGTTCACACATTTACAGCAACATAGGCATTTACATGCATGTCTGTCTTCTCTGTGTCTCTCTCTGTGACACTGTAGATCTACATGGCCATGTCCTCCCACTCTAGCAGCTATTCTGTCCACCACCCTCCTTAGCTTTTGGTGGCTTGGCTGACATTCTTGCCACCATTCTGCAAGTCTGAGCGAATGTGACCAGACCTCACGTCTATACGCAGACACCCTGCCTTCTCAGCAGTCTTAGTGAATATGACCCTTATGTGGGCAAGGACCCCAGCAGGAGAAGACAGACAGACTCAAAATGGATTTTGGAAGAAAAACAAAAGGGTCTGGCTCACAGTGGAAATGCCCCTCGACATGTGACAGCATTTAATTTTTAGAAAGCCTGTGTCTATGCTCACATCCTGTGGAAGAGGGCTCAGAACCTAGAACCTAGAATGAAGAATGAGAAACCAGTTCTTGAAATGTTCACACCCAGTGATCTGTTTTCTAAGGTTGGAAATTCTGCACAACTTTAAGAAGAGCACACGTGGTCATAATAGAACAGAATGTAACACAAAGCTGAGAAGCCATCTTTAGAGTCTATGAGGTTTCAGTTTATCACCTGGGTGACATTTAAGTAGAGAAAGGCTGAATTATTGGACAAATGGTTCAGGCACAGAGGTGGGGCTGCCTGGTCAACCCACCCTGGCCACTTAATAGCAACAACAATGGGTCAAAGCCCACGTGATGCCATGTGCCAAATTAATTTGAAGTGGATTATAGAGACAAGCACAAACTCACCGCAAAACAACCACAAAACAACCCGGTGAACCAACACTTATCTGGCCTTGGCACCAGGGAGAGACTTTCACAGCAGTGAATGTGATCAACAGATCTGCCTATGTGGAAATGAAAAACTTTTTATGTTAAAAAATACTAATCATAAGAAAAAACAAAAGGAAAAGAAATACAGAAAAAATCGCTATAGTTAGAAAATTTGCTTTCAAGTTAATGAGAAAGAAAAATACTTCAGAAGGAAAATTGTAAAGAACACGAAGAAAACATTTGAAATCAGCCAATAAACACATGGAGAGATCTGCTCCGTCTCACCCACAGCAATTTATATGTAAAAATTGGGAGCATTTTCACCTGTCGTACTGACAAATTTAAACAAAAAATGCAGTGTTGGTGCAGCTGGGGGACATCGGTCCCTGGCACGAAGCACAGCCTGCGGCGACACAGCGCAGACCTTGACAATGTTCCTCCCCTTTGGCCCGGCATCTCCCCTTTTAGATTTATCTTGCGGAAATAGTCAAAGATGTACCCAAAGATTTATGTGTGAAGACACCTGCCGTATAGTCAATCACATTGTGAAAACACGGATCGCCAATAGCGGAGTAGGTAGAGATTACAGCACATCTAAAAGGAGGGAGTCCTAGGTGGTCTTTTGAAATTCACATTTTTACAGTACACTAAGAAGAAAACTCTCTCTTTACTAAAGAAGAAAAACAACTCTAAGATGTGAACTAGAAAAAGGATTTCCAGTGTGGAGGGGCGGTGGTGAATCTCATCCTCCCCTGGGCGGTTCCTGCCTTGGTCCAGCTGCCCGGTCTGCGCTCACTTGAGGGTGGACTTCACCGAGGGGGCTTCCTGGAGGCCCTGGGGGTGGCCCGGGGTCCCTGGGGGTGGGGAGTCAGTCTGCAGCGGTGCTGTGGAAATGCTCCTTGGGATGTTTGAGGGCGGCTAGGATTTGGGATTTTGTGATGTAAATAGAGTACTTTGGGACTGACAATTGTAACCACATTACACACAAATAAACACTGAATTTCAGCGGATTTAGACATCAGCCCCAGCAGCTTTCTCTGCTCCCCCATCAGCCCTTCTACTTGTTCCCCTGGTGTCTGCTTTGAGACCCATCCTTCAGATTGGGGTAAACCCTACTCTGTGCTTCCTTCCAACCGTCCAGACACTTCCTTTTCTCTTCGGTGCATTATTTCACTAAGATGAGTGCAACGTCCGGCTGTGGGATGCCTTTTCAGAGGCCTCCCACAACTCGGTGGGAATCAGCTCTTGTCCCCAACTCCCAAACATGCTCCCCCCAATTCCCTTGCCCTGCACTGAGGCCCAGGCCACCGAAGTCAGAGTCCAATCCAAACTCTGCCCTCAGCTTGCGAGGCCAACTCTCGACCTTCCTTCTAATGGCCTTGGACACAGCTCTCACGAGTGCCAGCTTCGGCCAGCCTCCGCAGGGCGAGGACAGCCGCCTGCTGGAGTCCCTCGCCCACGATCTCCAACGTAACGCAACGTAAGTGTGTGTGGGGAAGGATGGGATTAAGTGGACAACGTTCATTAAACACGCACACCCTGCACCACAAATACACACACCATGCACACAACAGCACACGCAACATATATACACACACCACACCACAGAAATATACACACCACACCACAGAAATATACACACCACACCGCATAAGACATATGCAGACACACACATCACCACCAGACACACCACAGAAATGCACACACCGCACACATAACGCATACATGTGACATACTAAACACACACAGCACACACCACACCATGCACCCCCCCCCACATGCACACACACACACACACACACACACACACACACACACACACCACTGAGCCCCTTGACGGTGCTCCCCGAAGGCGCCTGACACTGGGCCGGCAGGGGCCTGCTCATCCACACCGTGGGACTGTGACTATTCCTAAAACGCCCGTGTCCTTCCCATTTTCTTTTCAGCACTCTCACGTTTTTGCCGCAGGTTCCTTTAAATACAGACGCTTATTTAGTAAGGCAAGTCCCTTTGTTATGAATGGATTTTAAATCCCGAAGAAAATGAATGAAGAAATCAAGGGACCAGTCGGCAAACCAGACAAACCAGGCGCTTAACTTCCAAGGAAGACATTGAAAGATAAGAACGGTAGATTTTTCCCTCCCGTGAGAATAGATTTTTCGCAGAATCCCAGATGATAAAGTGAATGCCACTCAAACGTAGCCAATTGTCGCTCCCCGTGTACAACCGGGGGCTTACAGAAGCTGCGTACGTCTCCTGCAAGCCCCGTCAGCCTGGCGTCTTTGACAGCTCACAAGTGATGGAGAAAATGGCTCAGGAAGCTCTGTCCTCGCCGTCTTGTTATTAGCACAGACCCAGAGCTGAATAACCGAGGTTAGCCCGGCTCCAGGGCCGCACAGCCGACGGCTGACTTCCAACCCCGCCCCCCCACATCTCGGTCAGGCTCGCTGAATCTCCTTGACGCCCGCCGGGCGCCAGCGCGGGTCTGCGCTCACCTTGCTGCACTGGGGAGTAGGCGTTGGTCAGGAAGCGGAAGTGTCCTTTGTTGTACCAGCAGATCAGGGACATGTTCCCCTTCATCTTGATGTGGTACTGGCCCCGGGCCGGGGGGGTGGCCGGGTTGGTGAGCATGGACAGCGGCAGGCCGGTGCAGTCGCTCTTCCTGGAGCTGAGCAGGCCGCAGCAGTAAATCTCTGCGGGGAGAGGGACACACAGTCACACACACGCCATCGTTGCAGATGCCAGCGGCTCCCCACCCCCTGCTTCCCCAAGGAAAGGACCAGAGTGCCCCGGCCTGAGGCTGATGCGTGGGAGACGGGTCCTCTAGAAGTCCCTCTAGAGGAGACTGCCAAAGTTATGGGGTCTTTTATCCCTCTGCTGTCTCCCCTGATGACAATCTGCCCAGGTCTTTCATAAGCATACGCGGTGTGCTAAGATTGTGTGTAAGGCCGTGGGATAAGCAATGGGTCCACGGCACGACAGCAGCTCTCATTAGAACGTTCGTTAGGGGCCAGCCCAGCACTAAGCATGTGCACCCATCACCCCATCTGCATCCAGAAGCTTCTACACTTCGGAGGTTAAGGCACACACGGAGGGTGAGGCCTCCCAGGCTCACAGCTGGGAGGGCAAAGATGGGCATGGAGGCCAGGTGTGTCTTGACGTCCAGACCTCACCATGGCTGTCATCCTAACAGCCTGTCCAAGACTTGGCCTGCCACAGCCAGTCCACACGGCACCCAGGAAGCTGTGTCTAGCGGAACCCCCTGCTCCTCAGAAAGCGAAGTAGAATATAAAAGGAAGAATTATCAGACAATGGGGACGAAAGCAAGTGCTCCTTCTGCAGGTGGGCAGAGAGCTCCCTGAGGGACGAGGAGCTGGGACCTGGCCTCTCAGAGCCGGAGATTCGTGTGGGGTCGAAGGTGGGTCACAGCATCCGGTATGAACAAACGCCCCACTAGGACTCACTAAATTCCACCCTGGACGCCCACTTCGTGGGCCTGCCCCAGCCTGCCGGGCCATCAGGCAGACTGCCTGCCCAGAGGGGGCGTGGGGACCCTGGGGACAGGCTCCTGCCCTCTCCTCTTGGCTGAGGACCGACACGGTGCCATCAGTCACCTGAGCTCACTGCAAATGCCCCGTGCACGATTTCCACATTACTGCATCTCCCTCACCCCGCCCCCCTCGCCCCCGCACTGGGAGGACAATTGGACGAATCCGTTCCCTCTCCCGATTCCCCTTCTCGGAGCCCCTGCCCTGTGTGCAGCAGCCGGCATGCTCGGGTCTAGCACGCTCAAGTCTTGCTGCTGGAAGAAGAGGGCTCCCTGTGTCTCGTAGCTCCGCTCCTAGCAGTTGGATGGAACCACCCAAACTAATCTCGAGATTTAAAAAGAAGAATCTGTTTTTAAAAACAGGGAGGAGGATTATGTGAACAAGAATGTTTTAAATCACTCATCTGGGGCTCAGTCTACCCTACCAGCTGCATTTTCATAGGAGGGAGAGAAGAACATACAGGCAGCACCCTGAGTTTTCCTGCATCCATCCCTACAGGAAAACGGGGCTTATTCTCTGAGTGTCCTTTCTGGCTTCACAAAGTAGTCTGCGTGTGCCCTCAGAGGGACAACCAGACCCTTGCTGTGACGTCTTTCCTCAACCTTGGCTGCCCGTTAGAACCCCCAGGGGGGCGCAGCAGCGCAGACCAATGCGCCCAGAGACTGGGGGTGGGCGCGGCCCTCAGTGACCCCCACGTGGGCAGGATGAAGAAACCACCTCCCTCCGTCGTCACAGAGGAAGCGCGTGATGCCCCGTGTGAGGCGCTTAATAACTTTAGATGCTTCTAAAAATAGGCAAGGAGATCTTTTTAATCTATTATCTAACCTCTCGAGAAAAAATCCAAATTCCACGTCTAATTATTTTCTCCCAGCTAGAAGATTCTCTATCTTCCCCCGAATTCCCTGAACTAAGGAGTGTCCCCTTCTTCTGGGAATCACAGGAGCAGCAGCCCAGTTCTTTGGGAAGCAGGACCGATGGCCCAGGACGGTCCTCTGGCATCCCCACATTGCCTTCCTCCAGGAGCCCGTCTGCACGACTCCGCCACACCCGCACACACACAACGAGCTGCCACGGAGCACAGCACCCGACTCCTGCTCCAGGGTACTGGCCCCGTAACACGCATGTTACCAGGGGCTGCACTGCCATGCACACTGTACCTGTACTCGGACTCACGCAAGCAGGCAGGAGAGGGTGGCAGCCCCGGCTCTCACCACGTGCTCAAACACGGAGAACCCACTGTTCTTCCAAAGTGACTGGTTAATGTGCATGAGAGCTAATTTTCTCTAACTTTACTTCCATGGTCCCTCTTCACATAATCTGCTCTGTCTACGCTTGATTCTTTTAACAAATAAACATTGAGCCATGCTGGGCACCAGTTTGCAGGTAAGTAAGATGCAGTCCAGGCTGGCAAGGAGCACTGAGTCCCAGGCCGCTTCCTCACCACAGCTGCCGACACCCCAGGACGTAAGCTGTCTGCTCCCTATTGTTTAGCAGGATCTGGTTCTAAGGCCAGATGTCAGGTCTGTGCTGAGCAAAAGGTCTGCAATGCTAGCGGCTGCTATAGATGAGAGGGCGCTTTTTGTGCTTCTCCTGCGTGGACTAGACATAAATCCCCAGATGTAGAACAGAGAGAGACAAATGCAGCTTGCCACAGGGCTCCCTGACCTGGTCCTGATCTTCCTCCTCTGCAGTTACCATTTCTGCCAGAGCCATGGAGGGCCTTCCCAGTCTCTTTGCAATGAATGAACCAAGCATCTTAGAACCCAGGAACCCAGGACCTTTCCAAGGCCACTGTGTCACTCCCTGGCTTCACGCAGTTCTTGTCTGTCCACTGGGAAGGGGCCACATTACAGGTGGTAAGTGAGTTCAGGAAACTTCCTGAACTTTGCTAGGAGCTGTGCCTAGGAAACACAGGCTTGGCCACAGCTTTAGGACAAAGGACACACAAAGAAGTGCCCTGAAGACTGGGCCTCGTGCCAACACATCCTCCAGGCTGTGACCCCATGACTCCTTGAGATCTCTAGTGCCCGGAGGGTCCTGGCACGCAGGGTGGCTGAGATGCAGCTGTTCCCTCAAGGAAGGGCCTCCTTGCTGGCATCCGGTGGTGTGTGCCAGCCCCGCCACACCTGCGCCCCCGCCCAGACCTCTCCCACCATGTCCCCAGCAGAGGCGGGGGCCCTGTTCCCACTGGCTCTGCACTCAACAAACCTTGCTTCTCAAACTCTTCAAACAGGGTCAGGCTGGTGATGCTGGGCCCCGTGAAGATGATGTAGTTCTTGCCCGCTGCGTTCCGGCACAAGCTCCGGGCCACCATGCTGTGCAGCTGGGGCTTATTCTTCAGCGCGTCCAGGCCGTCCGGGCCCCCGCCTTCCTTCAGGTGGACGTAAATCTGTAACAGACACACACGGGTCAGGAGTCCAAAAGCTTGGGAAGCAGGGGGCTCTGTGGTTAGGCAACAGCTCGTGGAAAAGCCACCCCCATCATCCCCTCAGCTCACAGAGGTTTCAGGTCACCCCTAAGGCCACCCCGCAGCTCAGGTGGCTGGTGACTCAGCCCCAGATGCTTCCATCTGGACAGCCCACGGCAGAGAAGGAAGAGGACAAGCAGTTACAAGGAACGACCCCAGCAGGCCAGGTCAATGCAGACATGCCCCTAGCTCTGACAGACACACGAGAGTGACTTAAATTTGCCATGAATAAAATTAAAGCCTAGCTCACCTGTTAGGAATACATTTGCCTGTGCACTTTCCATTTGAACACAGCGTTTGAATTTACAAAGTGTGTTCACGGTGACTGTTTCGTTTGTTCTGTATGGTGACCCCCAAAAGGCAGGTGGATTCACCTCGTGGTGTAGCGGAAGACACAGGATTGAGGGTTAAAAATCCATCTGAGGGCTCAGGGCCAGCAAAAAGGACATACTAGACTTAGTAAGAAATCGGGTCTCTTTGGAGACTTACTTAAAGTAAGCAATTTCTAAACTCTGTGTCCCGTGCTGCCCCCACAAACATCAGAGGGGCAGACACGGGAAAGGGAATGGATTCGAGAAGCTCCCGGTGCTCCCCATGGCTGATGGAGCCGTGAAGAATTAACCACATGGCTGTTAACCGCTGCCTCCTTTAGGGAGAACAGTTGTTCTCATGGAATGTTCCGGGTGCCTTTGCTGGCATCAGTCCACAAGCTAATAGGGCTCCCCCGTGCCTGTCCCTGTGTTTTTGAGGAGCACACTGACCCTCGCAGTGTGTCACGGTGAACCCTGACTGTCGCGGAGGCTCAGACCGGCTACATGAAAGGCTGCTCCGTGCAAAACGCCAGTGACATCTCCGCTGAGAAACATGGATGTGGACCGCTTGGAGGACCCAGTTCACCCACTTGCACCTGTGCTTACTCAAACGACTTTGGAGGATCACTTGCAAAATATGGGCGACTGATGTTGTTAGGGCAGAGGAGAGCAAGTGAACGAAGGTCTGATTCTACAGCAGCTCCTTTCGGAGGGCAGATCCTGTCACTAACACACGCCTGGGTGTCCTCAGGGGGAACCGACTCTCTGCCAGGCCATGGCTTGCTGCACGTTTTTGGAGACAACTCGGCAGATCTTTGGTACTTTGGGTCTTTGTGCCTTTTCCAAATACTACCTCACTTCCCAGAAGGAATCTCTTGATGGAGATCAAAACACTGAGATTAGGAAGGCAACTGCCTCTGCCACACGACCCCTCCCATCTTCAAAGCCAGCAACGGAGACTCTTCTCTGCCATCTCTCCCGAGCTTGCAACCTCTTTTCTGCCAGGAAGAGCCCAGTTCTTTTGAAGGGCTTACCTGGTTAGGCTGGGCCCACACAGGATAGTTTCCTGTAACTGATTTAGGACCATAACACACTTGCAAAATCAAAACCCCTTCAGAGTAGCACCTGCATTAGTGTGTGTGCACATCAGTGGGCAGGAGTCTCGTGAGTATCTTGGAGTTCTGTCTCCCACACGCTGGGCATATTGCTTCCACACCAGGCATTTCTATGCACGTGAAAACCCCAAACCCTTAGGAGACAAACGGAGTGCCCTCCCATCTCATCAAAACCAGCAGAGCAAAGGCAATGTCAACATTATTCCCTGGGAAATAGACTGATTTCAACGAACTTCCACATAGACCAGCAGTGAACAACACCTTCCCTGCCCAAACACCCAGTGGTAGTGGGGATTTGGGGAAATGAGCACTGAGTTAATTTGATATAAACATGTATAATCTTTCCATAGGGAAATTTTGCCACATGAATCAAAAACCTTGAAGTACGGTCACTGTGGAAAACAGTACAGAAGTTCCTCAAAAAATTAAAAATAGAACAACCATATGATCCACCAACGGGGCCCCCTTCTGGGAAATGAAACTGGTAAGTGTCCATCAATGAACAAATGGATAAAGAAACTGTGGTGTATATATGTACAATGGAATATGATTCATTTAAAAAGAAGGAAATCTTGCCATTTGCAACATCGTAGATAAACCTAGAGGACATTAAGCTAAGTGAAATAAGCCAGGCACAGAAAGATAAATATTATAATAACTTACTTCCATGGGGACTCTAAAAAACTTAACTCATAGAAGTAGAGAAGAGAATGGTGTTTACCAGGGGCTGGGGGGGTGGAGGTGGGGTGGGAAAGATGTTGGTCAAAGGATACAAAATTTCAGTTAGATAGGAGGAGTAAGTCCAAGAGATCTACTGTACCATACCATATGGTGACTGTAGTAAATAACAATGTATTCTTGAAAATTGCCAAAAGAGATTTTAAGTGTTCTCATCACAAAAAATAAGTATGTGATATAATGCATGTTAATTAGCTTAATTTAGCCATTCCACAATGTATATATATTTCAAAATATGTTGTACATAATACATATAATTTTTATTTGTCAATTAAAAAATAAGTTTTAAAAAAGCTTAAGATATATTCATGCTAGTTTACTCATAAGTTCCCCTTTTAGGAATTCGACCCAAGATAACAATCAGAAATGTACCAGAGGATTTATATATATAACACCATGTCCATCCCAGAGATTTTTATAAAAGCAAAAAAACTGGCAATGACCTAACAAGGAGGAGACTGGTTAAAATTATATATGCAGGTATAATGGAATCTGGTATACTTTTAAAAAAACCATCATGTAGAAAAAATATTTAATAACATAGAAAATGTTCACAGTATCCTTGGAAATGAAGTAGCCAGATTATAAAATGGTTCAAATGTGCGTGTGTTTATAGATATATGCTGACTATCTCGAGTGGCTATTTCTTTATAATAAGCTGTTTATTGGAATTATAAATATTCTGGGCTTTTTATGTTTTTGACGCTAAACATAGAATACAATTTAATCAGAAGACACATTAAATATAAAAGAACTTCCCTATCAGGATGACCCCAGCATAGGCATATTTGGAACTCGCAGTACTTATAGGATCTAGGTGAGATGTCGTTAACGTGCACCGTGCTTAGCACATGCCTGGAGATGACGACGACTCTTAGAATGAGGGCAGCCTCTCCTCTCCTGAGATTAACACATTTTCCCTAACGCCAATGACGGGCAGCTGAGAGCTCATGACCCTGGGGCGTTCGGGAAGTCCTGCTGTGGGACCATCTTCGAGTTACTCAGCCTCAGGTGTCCACACAGGCACATCTGAACACCAGCATTTTTCCGGTCTCCAGCCAGTCTCTTCCCATGGGAGGTCACCAGAGAAGAGAACGGTCACTGAGCCAAAGGCCTCTCTGCTCTTATTAGGGAACCTGGAAGAAAGCCGTGGCCAAAAAGTGGCACCAGGGAGAGTCCCAAATTTGTGGTGTATATTAGTATAAAATAATGAATTTTTTTTAGTGAATATAAAATAGAACCTACATTTAAATAAGTAATGAAAAACAGTAACCTTGAAAGTCCCAGCTGAGGAGCATGGTTTAGAAAGAACTGTTAGTAGGGCAGTCAGAATCTGGCCAAGAGAAGGCTCAGTCCAACAGGTGCTGCGTGGTCTGATGGTCACCTGGGTCCAGCACCCACAGGGCTTGGTTTGCTTTCATAACTTCAGCTGGTCTAGACGGCAATTTGTTTCCCTTAGGTAGGTGAGTGACCTCCAATGGAGTCTTACCCACCCATGCACCACTGCTACAACTGCTAAAGACAGACCAAGGATTGCGTCCAGATTCGAGACTACTCCCAGGAATCCTGTCAGTACTCTGGGAAAAGGCAGTGTCGCTGGAAACCCACACGCACATTCAGACGCCGTGTTGGGTGTGTTCTGTAAGAGCTCCCAAAAAACAATGCCGAAGGGAAACACCGTTCACTTGGATAGGTCATTGCTTGCCAGTCTGCTGGTCTGCTTTTAAAAAAGTCAGACCTCTCCCTAGACACATTTTCAGAGAGAACCATCATACTAAAACAGTTCTACCAACATGCACAGACAGGTGATCTTCCATCACGGGGCAAAACGGAGTTTGCTAGAGATACTTTTACTATCTGGGCTGCAGGCTTGTGTGACAGGACAATGTACCTTTCGGTTGCCAAGCTTTTCGCTTTTCCTAAGGAAGCTTTTCTTGCTCCTATGATTTCTTAATTTTTAAATACATAGATTTACTGATATATGGTATTAAACTTTGCCCCGGGATGTTATTACTAATGTTGCATAATTTATACTGACATTACGACAGAAAGCATCTTAGGAAATACAGATTATAGTAGTTATACCCTGGGGGACACACACACACACAACACACGACATTTATCTTAGCCCTACTTCTGAAATGTCCCAAAACCCTGAGAGGCAGGACCTAGTTCATCTTTCCCCCCAACTTCTCAAGAAGGCACTAGGGCCAGCTGCAGTAACTAAGGGACTTAGAGGTCATCAAGACACATCAGCTGATACTTCCACGAAGCTGTCACTAGAGTGCAGGTGGCCTCCTGACTCTAAAATAAAGAACTGGAGAAAACCTTGTTCAGCTATACTGGTCTTGACCAGTGGCCGTACTTCTCTTACAGAACAAAGAGAATCAGGTTTCCCCACTGTTGGTACAGAGCATATCTGGGGACATGGACACCACATATTAGGGACTGGTGGTCCTTTGCTTGGGACTTTCACTGCTAGCTGTGCCAGGAGCCGTGGGGAAATAGCACGAGAACACGTGATCGGCATGCACTGAAAGGATGCAGAACAAGATCACAGAGATATGTGTGGTTGTCATCTGGGACATCTGCGTGGCACAGCCATGAAATTCAAATGATATTCACCCACGAGAGGAACTGGAGACAGTGAGAGTGAGTGTGGGACCGGACGGGCACGGGCTCCATCATTTACTGGCTTGTAGGACGTGGAGCACGTCACTTATTGCTCTGAGCCTTAGTTTCCTCGTCTGGAAGGACA